ATGAGGAAGGAAGAGTTTTAGGGCCAATAGGTTTTTTTTTTTTTTTTTTGGTCTTTTCGGGACAGGGTCTCCCTGTAGCCCCCTATGTAGACCAGGCTGGCCCTGAATTCACAGAGATCCGCCTGCCTCTGCCTCTTGAGTGCTGGGATTAAAGGCGTGAGCCACCACCCCAGGCCAATAATTCTTAATAAAGCAACCAAATTTGGCTGATTTAGGAACAATGTAACAGTAAGAAACTGCCACCTAAGTGAATCACACTGGTTGACTTATTTTGAAACAAACCTTTTTATGTCTTAGAGATTTCTGAATCCAAAACCTTGGAGAATACATTACCCCTTCTCCCCCATGCCACAGCTAAAGAATGTGAATCTGGAAGACAAGTTACACTCGTCCTAAGTGTATACAGGGCACTGTTTCAGCATAACTAAACTTTGACCTAGACGGTCAGCATGCCATCTTTTGCAAGCATTTTCATAATCAGGGCATTTTAATTATTTTCATCCTTGACCTAAAGATCATGCTCCAAATTAGGAATTAGGGCTCAAAGAACAGGTTCCATTCTATATAGATCTATATAGGTTCCTCTATAAAGATCCCCGTTTGCCAAATCTCCAGATGCCTCACACCTTCCCCCAAAGAGATCTCATTTTCAGGCGTTTTATTTACTTCAAGTTGCTATGGCATCCTATTCTGGAGCCTCCTGTTAGCACCATACTGTGTGGGGGTGAAGAGGCAGGGTGTGGTGCCACGTGGGATAAGGCTTTGGTCCCAGCTCCTAATCTCCCTAGGGTGAAAAATTCAGGTCCATTCAAAATGTGCAATGGGGAGTGTACAGCTCCCCTCCCCCACTTTGCACGGCTGCGGAGTAGGACTCTGCCCATTTCCTCTGCCGGAGAGAAGTGAGCTGTCCACAAACAGGGACTTTCCACTTTCAGCAAAGCAGACTGCACGGAGAGATCTATGATTGTTTGAGAGTAGAAAAGGAACTTAACAGTTCACCAAATCCAGTATAATTCTACCTGTAAGACTTTTGTGGGGGGCACCAGAAAGGGCAGGCAGACAAACTGCAGGCTGCACGGGGCAGGGAGCTGTTAACATATACATGGCTCAATTACTGGGGTATGTGTGGGTGTGGAGGGAAATGCAGATTTCCTTCCAAGCCTTATTTCCATGGGGCCATTCAACCAAGCCAGCAATGCTTTCATTAAAAAAAAAAAAAAAAAGCAGACTCCAGCTGAGGCCCTATGAGAAATCATATAAGGAAGCCACCACCCCTCACCAGTGGGGGTTCAGGATCAGGGAGCGGGGGTGGAGTGCGGAAAGGCTGCTGCCGATAGACTCCAGGCAATAGGAGAACATTCAAACACAGGCCCACACCCTACATAACACAGGAAGGGAAAGAGAACTGAAGGCGTCTGAGCAAGGAGTAAGTATTCCCCAAAGCCAAGCGACCCAGTTCCAAAGCACACCCCACCAGTGAGAACAAGTGCAACACAAGTCACAGCAGCATTGTCCTGGTCGCCCTGCAGGCAGTGCTTCTGCCTCTTCCAAGAGACAAAGTCCTGCAGTTACACACACCCCAAACCAGAAAAGGGCTTGCCAACCGACCGCCTGACCTTGCGTTTCTTGTTGCTCTGGAGCTGTGGAGGCTCTTGGGTGAAGTTTTCCCAGCGTCTTTGTTTTGCTTTCTGTGTTGGAAGTTGTGCGGAAGGAGTTGTTTTCTGCTTCTAGGAAAATCCTGATTTACTTGAAAATCCTGAAATCTCCCAGAGCACGTAAGGCAGGCAGTCCGGCTGTAACCCTTCAGGTTACTCAGAGCAGTGTGCAGCACTCTGAGCTCCTTCTAAAGCCCTTCAGCTCAGCAGCGGCTTCCTGTGCCTGCGAACAATGCTGCTGCGTCACCCACATGCAGCTCCCAGAAATGCTTTGCAACGGAAGACGGCAGGAGGGGGAGCTGAGCTCGAGTGAGCCAGCTAGGCAGAGGGCCCGGCGGTTCTGCTGCAGCGCTGGAGGGGGTGTGGCCAGTAGCCACTCTCCTCCTTCTGATTGGAGGATGCACAGCCGGGGAGGGAGCCGGGGAGGGAGGGTGGCCAGTCCCCGCCCCGGCTCCTTCCCTCCAACACTGCAACAGGAGAACCCAAGGCCAGCCCCCAGAGGGCTCCGGGTGGCAGACTTCAGAAGGCGCCAGTGGGAGGAAAGGCTTTAACCAGTTCCATAGGCTCAGGCAGGCTGGCCCACATTTGTCCTTGTGGCAGCCTCCACCCTTCCCCTCAGGGTCACTGACTGTGTTAGTGCCAGAGCTCTCTCACTGATAGCACACAAATAATCTCTTCTCTGGCCAAACACCTGGAATCACACAAAGTCCGTTCTCTGAGTAGGAAGAGGAAGCTGGCAGCAGCTTGGGCTCTTCCCCAGCCTTACTGGGTGTCCAGTGTGTTTCACCTGCCCTCACTCCTGCAACTCCTGTCCAACATCCAGAGTCACCATGTTTCCTACACCTTCAGAAACAGTACCTTACAGGGCATAATCAACCACATATACAACAGATGCCTCCTGGTTTTGACAAGGAACCACCAGGATGTTAGACCTGTGTACACAGCAATCTTTTAGCAAGTCCACTGTAACCAAATCAAGCTGCAGAGTTGCAAACTTAAAGCATTTTATGCTCCTGCCTCTACACAAGGTGCAGGAAGTCAGGAAATGAGCTTTCTCTCAGCCACGGCAGTCTTTTCTGCCCACCAGAAAGCCTCACTCTCAGGATGCGACTCACAGATTTTTTTTTAAAAAAAATATTATTTTTATTTATGTGCATGAGTGTATTGCCTGCATGTATGTGAGTGCACCTATGTTGTGCATGCCTCGGAGGTCAGAAGAGGGTTTCAGATTCCCCTGGAACTGGAGTTAAGGACGGTTCGTAGCCGCCATGTGGGTGCTGGGAATAGAACCTGGGTCCTCTGCAAGAGCAGTCAGTGCTCTTAACCACTGAATCATTTCTCCAGCCCTGACATATTTCTACTTTTAAGTCTGCTTTGCTTGCCTCATTCATTTTGTTATTTTGAGTCAAAGACTAACTATGGCAGCACAGCCCAGTCCTGAGTCCCACAGACCTACTACCCCAGCCTTCCCAGGGTTGGAATTTCACATAAGTCCACTTCCCTTTTGAAATTCCCTATTAGACACTCAGTCCTACCTCCTATTGACACTCCAATGCCACCTTCTGATAGTCACATATTGTCTACAGGGCCTGGGGGCCAGAGTGAAGCTCAAAATGAACACAGAACACTAGGCTACAGGGGAAAGAGAAGGTACACACACAGGTCAGAGGCCTGTACATCACCGTGGGAGGGAAATCTGGGTAGGAATAAAAGGCAGAAAAGCAGCAGAGTCTGATCCAAATTTGTATTTTTCAGATCCTCTTAAATGTAACATTTTTTTAAAATTACTGTTGCTACTGTAACATAAACATTAGTTCTTA